GAGCTTGATCTTTGAGAAGGTACGTTTGATCAAATTATACAAATTACATAAGAAAAACTTATTTAAAGTGTTTTTCATTGAACCCAGGGAAACCTCTGACCACCAGAACCCGTCTATTACATCACCTCTCTTTGTTTTCGTGTCCTTCATTCGTTCTGTTTTTAAGTTTGTTATGTCTTTAACTTCCTAGACAGACCGTTGAGCTACATTTTAAGCTATATAAATAAAGTTTATGTGAAATCACAAAGAGACAGAGCTTACGGTGGGTTGATGCAGGTAATAGTCACATCCAGTAAAGAGCTGACGTGAGTGAGCAAGAATCCAAAGTCCAGAGAAACGGTTGAAAGATCCAAAGGTGTAAATACGCTGAGCCTGATTCTGACACAGGTGCAACTCCCAACGACAGGAAGTTAGACCCACAAACAAACGGGAACGCTCATTTCAAAATAAAACAGGGAATCCAGGCAGGAAGTTCCTACGGGGAGCAGATTACGACAAAGTTGGTTAACGGGCAGCGTCACAGTGACCCGAAGACCTCGAGCACTGACTGGTTCATCGAGAAATATTGGCCTTAAGATGGATGTGAGCTCATAAACCGGTGGGTTGATACCCGTTTGTGCCCCGAACAGGACACGTGGTTTGTTGATGGTACGCTCACTTACTGTGTGAAGTGATAACGTGTCCACTCGAGGTGTTCCAGCGGCCGGCCGACCCTCAGCACCGCACCTGAGCTGTGTGGATGCAGATGTTGGACCGATGCTGCGGCTCGGACGCGGTGTTCGTCTTGTAGCCACGTCCAGACCTCGTCAGAATTCAGTTTAACCCACTGTTAAGTCTGTTGTGCGCAAACGAGTCCAGATTCAACAGCATTCACAAAGAACAAACCGAGACTCCAGGAAAAACAAACGCTCGGACGTGTGTACTCTGCGGCTTCGTCTCATTTACAAAGTCAGTTCTGGGTTTTTGTTGGACTCGTTTTTTTTTTTTTTAGCGACTAGAACAGTTTGTTTTGCAAATTCATGCACTCGGTGACAGACACGGCTCCGACAGCAAACACTATTATAACATGTTTATTGAAAACCTTTTCTGAGAAAGAGAGAGAGAGAGAGCGTGAGAGAGAGACACAGAGTTGTGTGATGGTTTTTCTTTCCCGTGGGTTGTTGTGGTGGAATGTTACAGACGATTCATTATGATCAAAACACGTACAAACAAACTATGAATTACAAATAAAGAAATAATCACATAATGCCAAATGGTTAGTTCCACCTTTCTATGTTAGAGACATGAATACAGAGGGAGGACATTTTATTTTGTGGGACTGAGAAACATGATTTTGTCTAAAAAAAAAAAAACCTGCTGTGGAATGCAATGAAATAAACTGTTGATGGAAATCGCTTCCTCTCTAAGATTCTTATAAACCAGCTCACACTCAGCCACATAAAGGCATATTTCACACTATAATTAATCTGAACTAACATGGAGATGCAGGACAGAATGCAAACGGGATGAATGAGAGCTGTGCGGAAGAAAAGAATAAAAAAAAAAACATGTCACCCCTGAAAAATGAAATAAGCAAAAACTTGAAAGCAGTGAATCTATTTTCCCAGACGCCGGAGGAAGCCGAGATAACGCCGCGCTCCGCCCAGCTTCATCTGCGTTCCTGATTTTCTTTTTGTTTTCACAGAGTAGAGAATAAATAAGTCAGTCAGAGCGGAGACGACAGATGAGTGAAGGCCGATGTGCGACTGTACATACAGTAAAAAAAAATCCCTCCCTGCTGAGGCCACGCCGACATTATGTGGAAATCGGTTCAGTAGTTTTTTTTTTTGTTGAAGGTTAAACGCTAAAATGTGCAAGCTAGGCTACTTAGCTTCCAATTTGAAAAGTAAGTGAGTTAAACAAACAAGACACAAAAGCATCGTGGATCCTCTACGAATGTTTTAATAATGAAAACGGAGAATTATCTTGGATTGCAAACGGTAAATGTGGAGTGAACTTGTTTAAAAATGGAAAGAAACTGTTGTTTATTAGCGTTTATCGGACACTGTGATGTTCGCTCGGTCTTACATATGATTGATTATGATTTTTACCGTTATCACTTAATATTTTGGAAAGATTTGTCATTTTAAAAGTGAAATAGCTAAATTAGCTTTTAGCAGTTTTTGTGAAGTGTTGCTTTAATATTGAAGAGCGAAGGTGACTAACGGAGAAAAAATAAAGTGTTTCTATGATTTATATTTTCACGATGGACATCAGGAACAATGATATTCTCGTTTTCATTCTGGATATCCAGCTTTGGCGTCATGCAGTAACCGTTCAGTTTAGCTATCAGGCGAATGTTAGAAACAACACATCCATTTTAAAAGTGAACGTTAGAGACAGAGGCCGTTAGTTCCAGAGTTAAAAGCTCGATACAGACACAAAAAAAAAGAAAAAAGATCAGGGACGGCGTCCAAATAAAATCCGTGGAGCATCAGTGTAAAATAACTACTCTGCATCATCGTCATCATCATCTTCTGGCTCTTTAATGAAAAACAACACTGAAAAGCAGATAGCTATGAATAAAAATACTCTCACCATAGGGAAAGCTTTTACCCAGCATGGAAGAATAAATAAAACAAAACACGTTTCATTAGATCCATCCAACCTTTACACAAGTGCCGTTGTTCACTCGACAAAAAAAAAGAAAAAAGAAATAAAATCAGGCAAAACATGAACAACCTGCTTTTAGTGAGAACTACTTTTCAAATAAACGATGGGTTCTTTTTTGCAATCATACATTCAAAACATGATCGAAATCAATCAATTAATCTCCTTTTTGTTCGCTAAATTATTCCAGGCACTTCATAGATTTGGGCCAAAACTACTGAAAACAGGAAAAAACATGAAGTTTGTGCAGCCTCTCACTTTCCAGGGGCCTCGCTTCGGAGTGTAAATACGTGAAAAGTACAAAATCTGGTGCTGAAAAAACGCAAACAAATCCCATTGTGGAATATAGATATTTTATCTAGATGCATATAAGTACTTCAAATACTGGGGTGGATTTCATCAAGTATTGTATTTACACTGGAAAAAGGCCGTTGCACAGTGAAGTCTTTCCGTTTAGCAGCGGGTGAATCGTGTGTGAACCCTTCGATGACACGTGAACGTCGCTTTCCCTTTCGAGACTTTGCTAAACACAGACTCTGTAAACATTTCAACCCTCAGGATTTTTTTGGGGTCAGCTGGAGAGACGACTGCATATATATATATGTATATATACATATATATATATATATATAAGGGGGGAGATATCCATTTGGCAATCCCATGATCCTTCCCTGCACCATGTGACCTCCGCCCGCCTACATTCGACGGTGCAGTAATTTGGTTCAGAGATCTGGAGAATAAACGATTTAACAGACTTTTAAGACTAATTTGGCACTTTCCTCCGCAGACTTCAGAGTCTCCTCAAACAAACTGATATATACATATATATATATATGTCTATATATTTTCTTTTTGCTGTGCAACTGACAGATCACACAGCGTGCCTTCATTTCAGTATTAATACTAAAGAGCAGCGATAACATCTCGAGCGTCTGGGCAGGTTTGTTTTTAGTAACACTCAAGCACATAAGGACATAACAGCTTCTGCCTTCAAGCTGATGTTTCCAACTGTGAGTGTGAACGAGAACTGACCCTGTGACCTTTCCTGTGACAACAGACGAGCGTGAAGCCTCCAGAAAAACCTCGAAAAGAAACAGACCTCCACCAGACACGTACAGAACTCATCCCGCGTGTCATCCGGCCGATTTGATTTGTTCTTGTTGTCAGATTATTTTTGTGGGAATCTTTCGTCTTAGCCACTTTCTAATTGGGTTCAAAACCCCAGAATGCATTGCTGCTGAAAACAGTACAAAAGTGCTGCTTTTACTTTTCTTTTTAAAAAAAATATTTTCCTCTAAAAATCTATTGCTGCAAAAATTCTTTTGTAAAAATTTTAGTCACAGTTTTTTCTGAATGCAAGAATGTTCCCTGGTAGCTGCCGAAAAGCATTCTGGGAAAAGTAGTTCATCATTTAGCTTATTATTTAATGTGTTGCAGCAACTTTTTTTTTTTTTCGAGGAGGGGAAGTGTTGCATTGTGGGATTTATCAAAAGGTACACTAGCATACATGCTATAGACATTAAGTTTTTTTTAACAGTGAGGATTTTTGATTGCACATGTTTTACACAAGTAAATAAACGAGCTAGTGACCAGACAGCGAGTCCCTCTGATAATTAATTTTTGAAAAGCTTCCACAGGTTCTCAGTTTCTCTGAAGGCTTCTTCTGATTCACAGCTGTTCCTTGTTGTTGCTCAATATGTCTTTAAGTACTTCAGTTGTACTAAAGGCCTCTGTGGTACAAATCACCAAGCGCTGCTATTTCTTGCCCAGCAAGAGTCAATCGTTGCTTCGATATTGCAAACGTCAACTTTAAAAAAAAAAAAAAAAAAAAAAAAA